ACCAAAAGAATGATCATGGGTATATTTTAATGTAGTATTATATTCTTTTCCTCACTTACTGACATTATTCGTTGTCATAAATCATATCTTTAGACCTGTTGATGGTGAAATGCAGAAAATTCTAACAACGCAGTTGGTATTTTTAATAGGTAAAAATTAAATTTAGACGCCAATGATAGACACAGCACAATAACTGCATTCTGGGAGTACAATTTATGCATAGCAAATATTCGTAAAAAAGAAAACAAATTCCAAGTGATTTGAATGAAAAGAAGAAAAAGGTGGTGAGAAAAAAAAAACTGACTCATTGTTTAAAATCATTCAGATTCTATTCTTGTCTCGAGTGTTTTGTTTTCCACTCTCATAAAACTTTCTCTCACAACTGTGTAGTGAAATTTTCAACACAATAGGTGAACATTTTTGTTTGTCTAAGCAGTAGAATTTGTGGCTTGACAATGGATTGCTTTCTTGGAATAAAATTCAAACAAAACTGATGTACAAAATGTCATTCAAAAGATCCACCAGAATTGCCTTAATTTGTCACTGTTGTATGAACTGTTTTTCCAAAACAACAGCATTGCCAGCCAAAGAAATCTGTAAAGAAAAAATATTTTAGCATGCTGTATCATTACGCATCCATCAACACGTTTTCTACTGCCTTACAAATATTACAGAAACCTCAACGCCAAGTGAAAAGGTATCAGTCACAGTAATAAGCACTGAATTTCGGTTGCTACTTATAAGAAAAAAAATTGTATAAAAATGCAACTTAACATTTTGAATAAACATTTGATTATAATGTCATAATTTTTGTCTAAATAGCTGTTATAGTAATGTCTAAAAGCACATTAAACGTTTTGATGTAATCTCTGCTTCTTTAAAAGTTAAAGATTTAAAAATTTTTGATTGCAAATAAAAGTTTCAATACAGAAAAACGAAATATACAAGAAATGATTGAAAATATTTTAGTTTCTTGGTTACGATATTATAATTTTTGATTACGGTTTAATGCACCGAATTTTGGGCACCAATGAATGTGTGGCCAACTATTTGGATGGCGGTTTCATGCGTTCCATGTGGTGTATCAATCATACATTCGCCTTAATCATTCTACCGGTTGCTTTGTACTGTATTCGACGACCTCTATGGTTACTCTGGCCATGTAGGTTACCAAAAAAAAAAATAAAAAAAAAAAAAAGATTAAGAAAACAAAAACAAATAATAATATCAAGAAATTTTTAACTGCAATTCTGTTGTTTCACCCGCAAATTTAGGCTAAAATGTTAATTAAACTGTTTTTTCCTACAGTTGATAAGCGAAGAAATAGCAAATAAAATGTTATTTTTTTGAAAATTCTTATTTTCAAAATAACATTTAAGTTGCATTTTTATTTTCCTTTTTTTTTTTTGTTTGTTTACTTTGAATAATACTCATTTCTTTTCCTTCCAGCTCTTCTAATGCAGTCTGCTTATGCCCTTGGACTTGGCGTTTTGACGATGGCAATCGCACCAAAACTATTAGAAGCATTTGGTGGTAAAGTTGATGGCAGATTGATGGGGCAATTTTCCATCTATACTGCCGGGTTTTGTCTAAATTGGTTATTTACCTTAGTTTTATGGCACTACTACTGGTATATGGAAAAGCTGATAGCAAATATACCGCACGATGTTGACTAACCGTATCTGTAAGCTCAGTTATGTAAAGATGTGGAATGTGCTTCAAAGCAGGAATAACAACAATGACAACAACAAAAACTACAAAAACAGGCTTTGTTAAACAAAAAACTGTCTTTCACCTAACCTCTCAACAGATTTTTTTCACCATGTTGCCCTGTATATCACTTTGATGATCTCATAGTTCAGGACAAATCATCCTTGATCTTCGGATTTTGACAGTAGCATATACGAACTTTTCAAAGAGCAGCAGTGCTTTAAACAACTTCAAGAATCTGAGATGGTGGGTTAGTTTAGTTGTGAAATAAATTTTTCTGATGTCCAGAAAACAAAAAACAACACTGGCTAATTTTTGAAGTGAACAATGACTATTATATCACGTATAAAACTTATAAGATTATTTTGACAAAATATTTTTCTTTGAATTATGCTGCATTCCAGATAAAAAAAAAACAATATTCGAGATCAACAAAACAGATGTTGTTTGCCTATATTTTTATTTTGACTTAACAAAAAAATAGTGATATTGCAAAATACGGTATAAAGTCTTTCATTTTATTAGTCTTTTAATGATTATTTTCTTATTATATATACTCAAAGAATTAATAAATTCACTTTCGTGTCAGTGATACTGTTAAAGTAATGGTTGTTTCGAAGTGATTTAGTAACAGAATTTTGATTTAAACTTCTTTACCATTTTTTATTATTATGCAAATATTATGTTTGCTTTTACTTTGTTTTTTGAAACTCCCCATATTTCAATTGATAAGAATGGTTTTTATATTGTTTGCAAAACGACTGTCGCAAGAATATAAATTTTACTGTAATAACTTTAATATATAATGTTAAATTAATGAATAGTTTTATTGTGTTGTCTACGTATCTGTAAAAACAATTAAAAATAAAGATATAGCTATAACAGTAAAAAATATTGTAAAAATAATCAAACAAAGTCGATCAACAACCGCCGCAGCAAACTGCCATTCAGTCTCAGATATCTTTGTGATGTCCTGTTTTTTGATATTTTCATATAATTCCTAAAATTTATAACGTTTTCATGATTCATTCTAGGAAGATTTATATACAAAAGTTATGAACAGTTAGAAAATGCGCTCTGTAGGTAAGTAATTAAGGTTGTTCTAGTTATTTTTTAGTTATTGCCACTAAAAATAATCACTGTTTGTAAAGCTTAGTTCCAATACTTTGGTTTGCCTGCAGAGGAGCCCCAGCACTTGTAAATTCCGATTCTCTTTGTGCTGTTGTAATCCGAAACGAATTTTACGCCACTCCTGTTTTCGCCTCAGTTTCAGTGCTGCATCACTTTCAGTTGTTGGTGAAACAATCATTTCTGGTTTATGCATCAGCAGTAATGAAGGCAACAAACCAAACATTACTCGACGCATCTAGAAAATCCTGTTTAAGCTGGAGAACAAAACAGTTTGAAGAAAGAAAAAAAAGAAGCAGAGTTACAAATTCTCACTTACACTTCATTTGCACTTAAATAATTGCTGTTTGATTCTACTAAACAAAACACTTAACAAAAAAAAAAAAAACTCATAGAAATAATTTGTGAAATAACATTCAAAAGAAAAACTTTGGCTAATTCAATAAAAAAGGTTTACCGTACTGCTCATGCTGTGTGTTCTTATATCACGTTGGTAAAAATTCAATATTATCACTGTCCAAACCACAGAAACTGATACGGTAAACATTGAAATTGAAAAAAATACTCCTGCAATTTATCATTTTATTTCACCTCGATTTTGTGCCAACAGAGAAAGCCTATAGAAGCGTCTTAAATATTTATCATTTTCTTGATATTATTTTAAATACAAAAAATTTGTTAGATGAAGATAATACTAATACTAAATTTTTAACATTATATTTTTTCAAAGAGAATAAGTTCTAGCTTTAATTGCATAGTCAAATAACAATAACAACAATAATAACAACAATAACGTACCTAAAAATGGCAAGGCTTCAGAGGTAGGTGGTGACATTTCCGAAACATAGTTTTGAAAGATACAAATGGAAAGCATCAGTGAAACCTCTGCAATTGTAGTTCAAAAGAACGCTGCGTTGAAAGAAAGACAGACTAAATTTAAAAAGTTG